CGTGTCGTGCGTCGCGTCGTGCTTCAGGCGACACGATGCACGACACAATGCGCGACGCACGACAGCACAACGCGACGGGCGACGGAAGGGGCGACGTTTAAGCGGCAAAAAATGCAACATGGAAAATACCTAAAGTAGCACGACGCGACGGGCGACGGCACGACGCGACGCACGACGCGACGCGTCGTGTGTTTACAAAAGTAATGGCAAGAAGGCGACGGTGCGACCCGACGGCAGGACGCAAGGGAGCCGTCGTGCCGTCGCGTCGTGTAGTTGCGTCGCCTGGAGGGGGGCTAAAGAGAGAGAGAAATGTGTGTCGTAAATAGTACACCATACCACAGACATGTATTTTTTCACTTCATGCACTTCACTTAACGGGCCAAGACAGCAGAGAAATTATTCAAACATCTGGAAACTAAAGTACTACCTTTAGCGTAGTTACTTAAATGGCAGATCTCAATATTTTGTGAGAATGACGTTACAGTTTCGGTGGATTACAGCGTGAACTTTGTGGTCGAGACCTCCGAGTCACCATCGTAAGACCTCAGACGACCTCTAGTCTGAATTGCAGTCATAAGCTATAAATGATTTATGAACTGGGGAAAAAATTCTCGTCATTGTTCACCCTCTTACTCGTGACTGGTCTTGCGACTGGTCTTAACATGGCTGCAGGCTCTTGCCAAAGTCCGATTCCAATGTTGTTCGGAGCCGTGGTTATGGGCGGCCAAAAGGCCCAAAATTAATTTTAAAAAATAAACAATTACGAGCAAACTTTATTTTCTTATTAAAAATTAAATAATAAAACACAAAACGAACACCAAAACCATTTACGAAACAATTTATTAAAAGTAATATATCACTGAAACTATTACGGGCGAACAACATATTCTCATCAAAATGTAGTTAATCGTAAAACACAAACACAAAACATTTATAAAAGAAATTATTTAAAAATAAATTACCAACATTTTAAAACAATATGCCTCTAAAAGTTCCTAAAATGACAACAGTAAATCAAACAAAGGCAGCCAACAGTTTACTTCAATTTTCAACAAGGACATTACTTTCAGTAAAAATAACAAGCACTAAAATCTCTTACAAACACTAAAAGGTTACCATACAGTTCTTTGAATAAAACTCTGCAATAAAAGAATTGCTGCACTTTTCGTAACTATTCATATACTCTATGAATTTACTGACCTATGTACATCCAAAATCAAAATTGGCAAACACTGTGACACTCACACTCACAGCAAGATCAAAATTGCAAGATGCATTTCTAAAAACTGCAGAAAATGTTGTTTTTAACCACCGCGTTAGCAGGAAGAAACTTCATCCCAAAACCTTTGTCGATTAAGCATCCAAAACAATATGGAGAATTGAAGATGTGAAAAGAAACACGCCGCAGACAATAATGGTTGTCTGCTCGGAACTGCTTGCAAATACACAGCATCGAAAAAAAAAATCAATTTTCTGCTACTTGCTTTTCACACATTTTACGCTTACTTTTAGTACGAAAGTTAAATTTGAATAAAATTGAAAACAAAGCCATTACGAACCTTTCGTTTTGTTTTACAGTCTTCAGCAAATATATTTTCTCAGAGAACACAAATTTGGACTTTACGCACGAGCAGTAAGACGTTTCTCACTTCTCAACCCCTTCTGATGGGATATCTTTGGAATTATTCTTGAACGCTGACTCATACCTATCATAAACTTCCAAAAACAAAACTAAATTCTCCACAATAAAATTAAGACTCGAAGTGCAATAAACCGTTACAAATTGCCGGCTCCGCCCGGCGAGTGTTTTCCTAGCGTGCACTTGCACTCAGGGCAGCTGTGAACGGTGTCTTTCAGGCTGGGAATGCAACACGGGATAAAAGCGAGGGGCCACAAGCAACACCAAACCCTGGAAATTAAAAGAAATTGATCGAAGTAAGAGTACACATTCACCTTCTCTAAATACCATGCAAAATTCAATTGATGAGCAGCACTGGTGATGATGTCAAGTATGCAGCATAGACGTGTGCAACCGGCACCAACAAAGACCAACAGAAACATTTACTCTCACAGTTTCTGACCTACTTCTTCATTTGGGGGACAGACCAAATAGAGGTTTGCGGTAGCGGCCATGAAAGGATATCTCTTTCATGAGCGTGTGTGGTTCTGAAAAGAACCGGAGGGTACTCCACGTTTCGACACTATAAGCATAAGCATAAAGTATGCTCTGTGCGTCGTCAGGAGACTGGAGGTTCCATTGATGAAGCTGCTTATATTGTATATGGAGGCGTTGAGGTGTGAAGAGGATGTTGACGATGACAAAAGCTATTTAGGTGCTTTCCTTAATATTTTAGGTGGGACTATTCTAGAGGATCACTTACGTCACGAGGCATATCCATATGACCATCACCCAGACTGCATCGCCGTTTTCTTTTTGGATCTCGGTGGTGATGTTTTTCCCGCAGCTGGTGCACTGCATGATCCTGGGCTCGGACGGGAACATCTGCATCGGCACGGTGACATAGGTCGTTCCTTCCGGAGGGGGCAATGTCACGGTCGGGCCGTCAGGCGC